TTGTAATATCAACAGCTACTCAGGCAACACAGAGATTTGGCATGGTGGGAGAGAGACATTGAATGAATGAGTGTGAGAGAGAGAGAGAACAACTGAACTCCAGCAGAGCAGAGAAGCAGGAACAGGAAATTGTCTGACCACTAGGAAGCACTTAGGGAGACAGTGCTGAGCAGCACCTCAACCCTGCCTGCACCCTGACTTCGGGTCCCAACAAGATGGACCCCCCGTCTCCCCCGTATTCGCCGGCTCCAAGACGTGGGACATTCCTTAGCTGCACCACCCCACACTGAAAACTCTCATGCCCAGCAAGAGTAAAGAATAACATGTGAAACCGTGTAACTCCTGTGGCACATGCGAAGTGCGGCTGAACGTCCTTTAAAAATGAAAGAAGCCATAAAACACACTGAAATGAGTCGTCGGCCTTCGCTGGAACCCCGAGGGGCTGCCGGTTTGAGGCAGCCGTGCAAATACAGAGAGTTGGCGAGTTGACACCCCCCGGGCGTTTGCACAGCTCTGAAAACAGCAGCGTGGTGTGAAATTCAGAGAATGACGAAAACCGGTTGGGGGGAGGGGGGGTGGCGGGGGGCTATAGTGCAAGGCCTTCAGGGGGAGATGAGCTGGACCTGAACACTGTACCAAAAGAACATTGCAGTAATGAGCCTGTGTGCGTATGCAGGGCTGCCCCCCCCCTCACCTGGGCTGCGAGTTCTCCTCATACATTCGCTCCTTGCCCTCCTTGAAGAGACTGATGGTCTGCTTGGTCTTCTTGGCCAGGTTCTCCATGAAGACGCGGAAGTACTCGTTGTCGCCCAGCGTCTCCATCTTGCCCTCGTAGCGCGAGAGGATGGTGCGCAGATGCTGGTACGTGTCCGGCAGCAGGTCCAGGATGTACGGCGGGCTGTTCTTCAGCGCCAGCTTGGGGTTCTGACACAGCCGGACCACCTGGGGCAGGATAAATTGGGGGAGGCTAAACTTAACTACCCATCTCGGGTCCAAAGTAAGAACAAGGGAGGAAGGTGAAGCCTTGGGAGATGGGGGTGAGCGCCAGGGGGTGGACAGGGTCGGCTTCAGCGTGGAAGAGTACAAAAAGAGTTTACATTTTATTTATTTAGCGGTCACGTGTATCCAAAGCGAAACATGTTTTTGGAATAGCAGTGTCAGCCAGCCCCTGAAGCCACGAAGGGTTATGGACCCAATGGCACAAACACTTAGCTGATGCTGGGATTCAAACCAGCAACCTTCTGATCATAAGCAGTGTCCTAACCCACTGAACCACACAACACCCCCTGCTTACGCCACAGGTTAAGTGGGGGGGTAGAGAAAAGCTGTGACCATCGGTGAAATATCTGTAACCACACAAAGCCATTCGGAGGCACTAATGTGAGGTGGCCGTTTCTGTAAATATGTCCTGTAACATGTGCGCGTGTGTGTGTGTGTGTGTGCGCGTGTGTGTGGGTGTGTGTGCGCGTGTGCATTCACACCCACTCCACTGAGACTCCCCACAGCTTCACACGAGAACTTTAAGCTGTTACCTTCACTCTCCCACTTCCCCATTTTACCCCCCCCCCCCAAACACAGACTACCGAAGCTTGATTCTACGACCCGGATAGACTCTCACTCACTCATTCGCTCCCATCAGCCACATGAGCCAGTGAATGACACCGTGCCGCAGGTTTAAACCTCAGCTCATGCCCAACATCATCTGAGCTGGGAAACGGCAGCCTTGGGCCCCCCAGAGCACGTAACCTGTGGCACGACCTGCTCGTGTACTAAGGACGGCCATTTCGGGGTCCCCAGGCTGGGGTCCAGAGGGTGTAAAGTGTGTGTGTGTGTGTGTGTGTGTGTCACAGGCACACGGCCACTAAAATATGCGAGAAGGCTTCCCCAATTCAGTCAGACCTGACCGAAAAAGCAGAACTGGCACCAGCACAAAGTGCACTGCAGAGCTCCAGGGCCTGCAACCCCCCCCCCCAGCTAGGCCAGTGCGGAAGGGCAACCTGGGAGCTGTGTCCTTCCCAGCAACGCTTGCGGTTGGTCGGTGGACGGGGACGTCACCGTGCAACAGCCCCCCCGTGGCCACCAACTCCTGACAGCGCAGAGATAATTCATAGGGCGTTCACCAGCGACAGCCTTATCAGGACACATACACACACAGAACCACAGACACAAGTCCAAACAGTACACACTGATATACACATAAGTATGCAAACAATAACGCAGATGCACGAATACACAAGCATGCATGCAAACATTAAAACACAAGATTCTTCTGCACATTCTACTGTAACAGTACAACAATGCATTAAATTAAACGACATTAAAATTGAATCTCAAAACTGGAAAAAAAAAACTGAACGGGGGTGGCTTTTTGACCACAGAAGAAAGCAAACAAATATGCCAACACCTCACAAAGGCGATTACACTTATACACACACACACACACACACACACACACACACACACACACAGCATAGGAGGAAGCTGTGAGACACACTGCTTCTGCTGATACGATTCACAAGAGTAAAGTCTCCTAAACCATATTTGGTATACACACCCACACTCCCCCAACATACCCCCCCCCCCCCACATGCATACACACACAGGCACACGCACACATATATAACAAAACGCACCTAATGAGGAAATGGAAGCAAGGTAACTGGGCCCTGTAAGAGTGTGACGCCCTAAAGGCACATGACCTTTAACCTTTAGCTGTGCACTTGCATCAGCAAGCAAAAAGGCCAAATAAATTGTATGACATGGGGACGGGAGATGAACCAGAGCCCTTAGCATTCTTGTGTTGTGTTCCGATAAGCCCCCCTGACACCCCCGAAAGGAGGGTGCAGAGATACCCTCCACAGACAATTGTCATTTAAAATCACTTTTGAAGCTCTTCGAAATACCTACGGCCTGGGACGACCCGCGCCATGAACCCGGGATAAAGCCCATCTCAGACCCTTTCTAAACTCTCCGCTTTCCACTGACTTCGAGAAAAGTGCTAAAGATCGTGTAAAGCAGAATGCGACCTCCGACAGACGAGCTCGGCCTGTTTCCCCTTCACCGTCTGACAGGCAGGGAAATTCCCAGCCACTTGCTAACCGGCGGGACGCTTTTCCCAGAGAGACAGATTTGGGAAGGAGGCTTTAAAAAATGCAGAGGGGCAAAAATAAAGACTTTCTAGGATACAGCGACCCAAAGGAGGGCTGGCTGGACTGGCCCGGGACGTGCATGTGGAAATGTGGACTGGCGTGCTTCCGTCGGTGTGACTTCTGCTTTCAGGCGAGCACGGGAGTGTCGGAGACTGCAGAGCAGAAGAAGTTCCATCTTGAGGTGCTGACATAGCAGAATCCCGGCTTGGGGGGGGAGGGGGGACGGGAAGAGCAGAGAGGAGAGGCGGCAAAATGCCCAAGAAGGTGGTCTGGGGGCAGGGGGGTCTCGATTTATCAATTGCGGGTGGGTGTCACCATCAAGCCGCCGTCCCCTTATGAGAGGACCAGGCAGGTGAGTGTGGAGCCACAGAAATTCAAATGCACCATATGTCCACAAATAAGGGACATAGGAAACTACTGGTCATCTATGGTACTCTCAAAATTTCAAAATAAAACCCCCCCACAAAACTTTCAGCGACTAACAAGGGAAGTAGGACTTTTATAATTAGTCCTGTGATGAGAGAGTAGTGCGGCAGCAAGCCTGCAGATTCTGTTAACCTTTAGCAGTGGAAGAGGATGTAAGCAAATTCAAGTGAGGAAAGGAAGGTGCATTGTGGATAGCAAGAAAAAGGCAACAGACCAAGTGAAAAACTAAGGGGGAGGGGCACCAATTCCTGGACAATGTGACCACCGGTTAGTTTAAATGCAGTGGTTTTCGGGTCCTGTGGTAGAAACTGCCAGTTTGCAAGTAGCTTAACCAGACCAGGACCGTGGCTTTTTGTCTCATGACTCCACATGCATTTTCCTCCCCGATTGTCATCCCAAGGCACCTCATGTATCTGGATATTTTATGTGTCATTCTGGACCCTGTCCCATGATCTTACGAGTGGGATTCCCCCAGAACACAGGGGCTCATAATAACGACGCAAGCACCTAATGCCACAAGCAGAAGTTGCGGAGACACGCACGGGACACTAATCAGAACACCCGGCCTGCTGTGAAAAGTACAGAGAATCACACTTCCCCGACAGGGACGCAACCTTACGTCTTAGTCAAGAGATCTAAAATCAAACTACAATACCCTTAGTCTGAGCAAAAAATAAGTTTGAAAAGTGTTGCAATTTCCTAAACAGCTTATTTTGAAGAAGATCTACCCTGGGGGAACCACAAATACAGTTTTTTCTCATGTGAGAGCCTGAATTCCCCAAGCAGGAAGTGCTTGTCTGCGCTCAATAGGTAAATAAATGCAGACTGACATCAGTGAGCCGTGCACAGCGCCGTATCTGAAGGACCACACAGCAGACGGGCTAAAAATGCTCTCCTTCTGGCCTATGCGATGCTCTGACACTGCAAGGCAGCTTGTTTTATTTACTACAAACTCCCACTGAACCCTACATCAGTAATAAAACGTCTCCCCAAGGCTATAACTCCTGACCTTTGACCCAACTTACACGTACACCATCTTGACCTCTGGTTTTAAACGTGTCTGACTTTTAAAGGGACCTGAACATAGTGAGGGCTTAACATCACCTACGCACAAGAAACTGGACGTTTTACTCTGTGGCAGAAATGCAGATCTGCAAAAAAATGTTAAACACGAGTGTTCCTCTTCACTTGTGGCTGTGCTCATCTTTTCTGTTGACCTGCTTCGAGTTTAATCACCTCTGGGTGTGGAGGCAAACATAGGGCAACTATTATTAACACAGTTTTCCTGCTGAAAATGCAAGAATCCTCGTACACAAACCCTAAACTGCAAAAAACTAATTTAATCCAGTCGTGCGAAGGCGGGTTATCCATTCCCAGCCAGGGAACATGTCAGTTAATGGTTTAAGTGCGACGAGGCAAACACTGGGCTTCACTAAGTACTAAGCATTTGCAGAGGTGAAGTACTATCGGCATGTTTACACTGCACTCCCAATGCAGTAACATAATGTAAATAAACGTGCAAATTCCGACTAAAATATACAAATAAAGCCACATTTTAGCCTATATGGCGAGAACTAGGCTTGATTTATCCTACTGCTCACATTTACTGTTAGATGAAGATCAAAATCAGTTAATTTTAATGACAGATTTCATTAAAATTAACCAGTTATTTTATGCACCTTCTTCACGAATAGCGGTGACATTACGCCTGTGAGAATAACGAAATAACCATCCATCGCGCGAATAACAGCAAGGGAGACCATGACCCAGCACTGGATGCGCGGTCACGGGAGATGGAAGGGTAGTTAAGGCATCATCGCGGCACTGCCATGTTTCTGGACAGTTCACTGACCGGTTTGGTTACTCCGGCCGATCGTTTCATGTCCCCGACTCTCACCTTGTCCATGAGCTTCCAGCATTTCTCCACAGTCTTCTTGTCCACGGCCCCGGGCTGGTGGTGGGAATGAAGGTGGTGATGGTGGGGTTGGAACGCGTCCTTCATCATCCCGATCAGCCCCACGCTTTTCTTGATGTTTCCTGCCATGTTAGACTAGCGTTGCGGCCCCTATGCCCGACCCGGGCGAGGCACGGGGCAGCTCCCCCCCCCCCCCCCCCCGACCAGAGGCTGGACAGCGCCGGAGTAAAGTTGGAGCGAGGGTCCGTCGGGGGGAGCGAGACCTACGGAGGCAAATGTCCCATTAATCCTGTAGATCTACTCGGGACCGGGAAAAGAGAAGGGCCGGTCACCTATCCGTCCGAAAAAAAAAAAAAAAGACTTTTGAAACGGTTCTAATGGGTACTAAATGCAGATCCGTTAAGCTGCGATAATCTTTTCCTTCCCTCCACGGATGGGGCTGCGTTTTCCTGGACCGATCCCTTGCTTTCCCGGAGCTGGCTCCCTCCGTCCTCTTACACGGTTCCTCCGTGACGGGAAGTGGCCGTGAGAGACAGGAGGCAACGCCAGCCCTGGCAAACGAGCTCTCTCCGCTTTGCAGCAGCTATAGGAAACAAATCAGGATTTGCCCCCTTGAGAAAATCCCCGGTTAAATGCACACTAATACGCTGCAATCAGATGCAAAAGGACATTCGGGGGAGAAAAGTGAAATAAATAAATTTAGGAGGAGGGGGAATAATCACCGCCTTTAAACTCCCCCTCCCGTGTGCGTGGCCATAGTTCTTCCTGTACATCCTCTTCCGCTTCTGATGCCCCGCCCAAGCCCCGCCTAGTTCAGAATTAGCCCCGCCCCGAACACTCCCCCTTCATACATAACACAAGTTTATGCAGCAAACTGAAGGGATGAATGAGCGTTTTAGCTGCTTGAGATGCATTGGATACACTATAAGCAATAACACCGATAGTTCAGAACATAGTATTTCTGAAACATTGGATTTCTAAAACACAACAGATTTCGGATGTTTCGGATACTAAAGTGAAAATATGCATAGCAGTTACCGCAATGGAAATGCAGAATTTATCAGAAGACTCTGCTGAGTTTAAGAGACTGGGATTCGTTGTTTCGATTTACCATCGCACCAAAAAAACAATTAGTGGCGCTGTTAGACATCAGTATCAGTATGAATATATAGGCTATGTATTGTTGAACAAAAATTAATAATGGTAGCATAAGACGAAAATGAAATGTTTTAAAAGTAGGTCTACATGATACGGCACCTTCAATGGTTCCGAGAGACTGAGACACGATGTGGAATGCAGTAACAGCCAGAACCGGGCTGATACAGAACGCCGGATATTCACCCCTAGGTGAATTGAGGAAGTTTTAAGATGAAACAATAAAGTTGCTGTCTCTAAATGTAATGTCTCAACGTTTACAATTGTACGGTGTTTTGGAAAATCTTGGTTGAAGACTGTTATGCTGTTTCCATATGGGTTGGTAGCCTGCTGTTTCTAAGCAATGACAAACGCAATCCAGTGATATACAGTATACCGGTAAGCACATGTAAATAAGGTGTCTCCGGTTGCCCAGACATCATATCAAACCACAGAAAAGCCGGTTCCTGTTTTAAGAATAGGGATCTTGCCCGGTAAGGCTTGCTACCTTTTACAATAAAACAGTATTAATACAAACAGAACAGGTTATGTTGGTAACATTAGGACGTTGAATGAATAAAAGTTTTATACACACATATAGCCTATTGTGAAGAAAAAGCGGGGTATTTGTGTATAGCTACAGGTATATAGAAATGTTCTCGTACTAGTCATCACGACTTCAAAAGTTCTTCGCCTTCCAACAGCACAAAACACTTTCCAGAAAAACGTCTATTATGCCTCCGAAGAAAAAAAGTATATCAAAAGTGAATACAACTGAGAAAAAGAAGAAATCGGGTGAAGGTAATTCCGACTGTATTATACATATTGCTTGTTACATAATATAGGGCCTATGTTTTGGAACATTGGTATTAAACATTCGAGACGGCAGTGAGCAGGAATAATTAAAGAGCAGACAGACTTGTTACACCTCGTTTATTTTGATTTAGGTTGTTTTCCAGGTGATGGGGAACAATAGCTGTGTGTTGCAATGTTTAGTTAGATGGTTTTGCATGATCTGGTATCTGCCTTATTCAAATGCACGTTACACTGAAACGTGAAATTTACTCCCTAAATGGTGCATAGCGCGTAGAAGGATCACGTTATGACATAATATTCAAATAAACATTTCCCCCCCCGAAACAGTCCTAGACGATAGAAAGGATCTTTGGGAGAAGTACAAGCGAAACGATGTGGAGGTAGCGGTGCTGAAAGAGCGTCTGGGTAAACTTCTCACAGTATTCTTTGTGTGTGTGAAAGCGTGCTTAAGGCTGTGTAACATAATACGAGTGTAAAATATGGTACTAAGTATGTGCATACGTGCGTGTATGTCAGCCCTCCGGGCGGAGGCCGTGCGCAGAGCTCAGAGCACCAGCGCAGACCTGTGGTCCCGCGTGCGAGAGCTCGAGCAGAAGGTCATGCAGGGACAGCATGACAAACGGGACATTACTACAGGTACCCCGCGGAAACCCCTTTCAGGCTACGCTGTAGTCATGGCAACCCCGCATACCACCCTCCCCCAAACTGTTTAGAGCACTGTATTGTTACTAGGGTTTAATAAAATAAACACTCACACATAAGGTGATGGAACCCGAGTACCTGACTGATTAGATATTCAGGGGTTTTGCATCAGCAATGCCTGTTTATATTGCACATTAATTCCTGGAACGGCTTATTGATTTTCCACCACTGCAACACTGCTGCTTCGAAGAATGTCTCCTCTCGGTTAGAACTCAACCGGCAGAATATGAGGGCGCAGATGGAAATAGAGATTAAAGTTCACAAACTGGAGACTGAAGTCAGAGATCTTTCCCAGCAACTCGGTAAGGCCGATTCGTTTTGTATGTGCGCATTCCTTCTGCTCCACAACCTGCCAGTTTAGCCATGACCAAACTGGGGGAGCTTAGATTTCGAGGACTTAACAGCGATGTATTTTATATTTGACTATTTTTTTCTGGCTATAGAGCACATTTGCATTTTTCTTGTGCTGCTTTGACTTGTTGAATGGAACACGGAATTGATGCTCTTTGCTGATTTGTCACATTTTGGGCTGCAAGCCGAGTGCAGGGAGCAACTGGGCGCAGAGAGAGATGCGCAGAAGCGGATGGCAGAGGAGAAGGATGCCACTATCGCTCACCTGCAAGAGAGGCTAGATCGTATGGACAGCGACTATGAGAGGATCCTGCATGTGAGAATGAGTTTCATCATTTTTAGCCGCCCCCCCCCCAGCCCCCAGATCCTCCAGAAGTCAAAGTGCTCCTCTCGTTTTTCAGGATTGCCTGGACAGCCTACTGGCCCTCTTGTCTGGAGAGCGACAGAAGTGGCAAGGGGAGAGCACCTGCACTCACCAGGAGTTGAAGAGTGTGCTGTCCGAGTTCAACCTGAATCCACTCGGAGCCTCCTGGGACCCCGTCCTGGGGGTCAGAGGCTGGCCAGCCCTGCAGTGCAAGTGGAGCGGCTAATTCAAAACGTGTCACGTGCAAAATGTTTTTTTCCCCCTGAAGAATGCTCTTATTGTAGAGTAAAACTACAAACGAATAAAACATGGAAATCAGGGTTTACTATTTTATTGATTCTGCTTGAAAGATGTGAATCTGTTAAAATGGGTAGTTTTCAGAAACCTTGAAATCACAGCAACTTCAGCCACTTCCGAGGACGGCAAACAAATTAAACCAGCCAATTCAAGATGTTGTTATGTGCAGTATATCGGTTTACCACCAGATGGCACTTAATGGAAAACCTGAATGGAAAGAAACTCCTGAATGGAAAGTCTGCACTGCACTGCAGTACTACGACTCGGCCATTGGATGGCACTAAGATTCCAGGAAGAATTATTTAACAGACGCGACATGGAATGGGATTTCATGTAAGTTGTCTACAAAAGTTTACAGACCTGCAAAATGGTATATCAGCTTTGAAAATGTAAGGTGAAAATCAGAGCAGAATGAGTAGATGGAAATGTGTGATATTCAGATATCAGTAAGTTGGGGCAAAGAAGTCTAACAGACAATTCTTATGTCAGTTTTCACTCAAATCCTACATATTTGAACAGATGGGTGTGAAAATCCTGTCATCTGGTCTTTTTGATAAGAGCAAAAAAACACACCAAAGCTTAAGTTATCATTTTTAATCTCCATCACTTCTGACCCAAATTAATTTTTTTAACCAATTTCTATGAATGGGATTGTGAAGGATTTAATGAGAAGGTTTAACAGATTAAAGAGTCAGTTCCATAATGCATAAATGTTTAAAATATGATTTTGGGATTTTAGGAAAACAGTGCTGGCCTGTGAGCTCCCTTATCTACAATACTACATTTAATTTCATCAAGTCTGCCATTTTCAGGATGCTTACGGGGCTGGGAGTAATTGGTGTTTTCCAAGTAAGGGGACATCAGGGTGCCAAACAGGGGCTGAGGGCACTATGTGAGCAAATAGGCATCCATTTTACTTTTTTGCTGAAGAGCGAACAAGGTCAATGGCACCCGGCTTGAAACAGCAGCTGCTGAAAGTCACAAATGTGGCCTGTGGTGATCTGTGATGCATCAAAATCACATGCTTTTTCTGCTCATGCTTATGCTGCATTTAACGAGGTCCGTTTGCATAAAGTGGTCAGGAAGTGTACATCAGTTGACATTAATCATGCGAGTCATCTTGTTTATCAATGCAATATCCTCAAAGGAAGTCCCACAGTGCCTCAAGAGGGTTTTTTAACGATGCCACCGTGAATGATGAGAAAGAAGACAGTCAATTATGAGGCGTTTTAAAGTCCTGTAAAAGCAAAACCTGTCAAAGAGCAACACAACCGAAAAGGAACTCGACAGCTTATCTCATCCTGGTTAGCAGTTAGGAGGTCGAAACAAACACACGCTCAATTTTGAGTCTTTGATTCTTCACTGTCCATTGAGTGACAAAAAAATCTTCCAGGTTTTTTGAAAACGCAAAATAGTGCGGCAGTTATGGTGATGCTAGCTGAAGGTGACAGCAAACATGAGGTGCTTGTCGACAGTTAACCAATTGAGCTCAAAAGCCTGCTGCTGCTGGCTGTGACAGGCTCACATCCACCCACGAAGGTTCTAAGTTCTAACTTGTTCTCATTACACCGGAAGGCCGCCCACTCAATGACCTCTTCCTGCCGCAAAAAAGTTCACATCGATCAGAATCCTGTCTGCTGTTAGCGGAACATGACATGGTCTGTCAGTTTACTGTAATATATATTTGTTCTATTGTATTTTCCGTACGGGAAATATGTATGCCTTAGGGACTGGTCCAGTGCTGCAGCCATTTATCTTGATAATGCAATAACTCAAAAAGTATTTCACAGATCTTTTGGAAAGGTAAAGATGCGGAATTAATTATGAGACAAATTATGCCAAAACGAAGTAGTGTTACCTAGTGGTACCAAAAAGAAGGGCAGCTTCAGACACTTGGTCTTGTTAGTGTGACGACTCAAAAATATTTAATAGATTTTTTTCAAACTTTGCAGACAAATTGTATGTATGAAGATTTGGAAGTGATAAAATTCTGAGACAACACCACAACTTAAGCAGTAGCTTCAATAATGGTAGCAAAAAAAGTACAGCAGCAAACACTCATCTTGTTAGTGTGATAACTCAAAAAGTACTTGTTGGATCTTTTTCAACTTCACATGAACTTCCTTTAGGAGAAGGTCTGAAATTCAATTCATTCTGAGATGAATCGCACCAAAACTGAAGCAACACTGCTTAGTGGCAGCAAAGGGGAGGGTGACCACTAAGGACACTTAACCTTGTGAACATGGAAACACAACAAGTATTTGATGGAACTTGTTTCCATTTCACAGAAACATATGGATAAATATCTATACCTGATATCATTTCAAGATTCATTTCAATTACACCAAAACTGAAGCAGCAGCCCTAGGCGGCAGCAAAGGAAGGAAAGAGTGACTACAGAGGACACTTAAACACAGTAACAAAAAGTTTTTGATGAATCCTTGTGAAACTTCCCAGGAACATTGTATACGTGATGATCTGACACCTGTTTCATTTTGAGATAAACTGTGGCAAAACTTAGGCAGCACCACATACTGGTGGTACATGAAAGAACAGCTGAGAGAAGCCAGTTTCTCTGGACACAAACTTGGCTCCATAAAACTTTTGAGGTATTTGACCTCACTGGAAACATCACTGACACAACTGAGGGCATAGCTATGGGCAGGCTAAGTGAAATTTATGCTGTCTGGCAGTGCATTGACAACGCAAGGCGAGAAGAGTTAGCTTAGCGAGGACAAGGTCACCGTGGAGTTTTTAGGCGGTGCTGCCAGATGTGCATAGTGATGGCTTGAAAGAAGTTCAAGGAACAGATCAAGACATAAAAAGTATAAAAAGGTGCTTCTCACAAGCAAGCCAGGCTAAAAGAAGCCAGGTATCTCATTAGTCAATCATCTGTTGAATATCTTTGGTCCATTCCTGATTAGTCTCTGCCAGCCAGCCGGCTGTTTGAACATATGCATGCATGTATGTTCGTCGTGGAACAGAATTAATTTCCCTTTCAGATCAGATTGTTTACACTGCAGAGATGTCAGTTCACAGCCCAAGAATGCTCTAGAGGATTCTTGTTTAGTCAGCCGTGATTTGATATAATAGTATTATGCAACCTTGTTTTTGACTGGATCGTTTCTATGTGCCAATGAACGGAGGAATGTAAGAAAAAAGAGCCGACACAACTGTAATGGACTGTTTTCAAACAATATATTAGAGTGGAATAAAAATGACAACATAGGAAAATAAATCATATAAAAATCAGCAGCCAAATTCTGCCCAGTAGGTAGGAGTAGGGGAGGAACAGGAAAGCTCCACACACTTTGAGTGTATGCCTGAAGGCTGATGGACAACCAGCCTGCATCTTCGCTTTCTTCACCTCTGTCATATTATCCGAACTAAAGAACCCAATGTGGAACTCCCCCGAGAGAGCTAGTTAACGAGCCTGTTAATTAACAACGCTGCCATTAGAGGGTGAATGGCAACCTGAAGACCAGGAGTCCATTTGGCCTGAATGGGACCCACCCACACACACACACACACACACACACACACACACACACACTGTTGGCAGCACCAGGGGTCCAATGCCACTGCATCAAACCCACTGGCCAGACAGTTACAGCAGCCGGAAACTGAGATGACGGCCGTGACTGAGGGCGTCTCCGTTGATACAGTCATACATCAGAACCTGGGTCCCATGGACGACAGCTCCCAGCCTGATGAAAAGCCACCTTATTTACTGCTGTCTTCCTTCTGAAATAACATTATACTCAACTCGCCCATTTCCATCTCGCCCCCACTGTAGTAGCGCCTTGAACAGAAATAAATCACTTTAACATGTAATCTGGGGTAAATAACCTGTCCCGACATTATTACAGATGTCAGAAGGGTAGGAGGGAGACATCCATTAGCATTTATAATGAAGTTTTTAACAGGCAGGGACGTGGCCACCTGCTGCCGATTCGTCATTTAAATGCAATGTTCTCAACCAGGAGGGCAGCGCCCATAGTGCCATATGGAGAGGCTCTGTCTGTGGCGTTGTCGGTAGGTCTGTCAGTGCTGCATAATCTGCCGCAAACTATTTAGATGGCAGTCCTTCACTGGAAGGTTCTGCTGAGATTGCCTCATGGACGTTCCTGTTCAAGAAGGCTGGTTTTGCCCTTACTGTAGCTGACTGTGCAGACACACAGCTCACATCCTCAGCCCCCTGGCCTCTTAGTAACAGATCTGATGGGGGGGAGGAAGTGGATGGAAGGATGACATGTTTACCTGTGGGGGTGGGGAGGGGCAGCCCAGTCTCTTCCGCCTTGTCCGCGGTTCGTCACCTTGTCAATGAGGGAGTGCCCGGCGGTCTGACATGAAGTGGGGGGGCAGAGAACTATGACACAAAAAAAAATGGAGATGAGGAAACTGTTGAGAGGACAAACTGGAACAATAGGCTGTGGGAGGGTGCGTCTGATTGGACGCTGTACTGCAATGGGCCCCACCCACCCACCCCGGGTCACTCTGAAAAAGTTTAAGACGCTTTTACAGAACGTTCTGCTGGGATTTTACAATAAAAGGTATTAAAAACAGCTCTTTCCACGTGGCCAATCTGAAGGCTGCTTGTAGCAGTGATGAGAATGACGACGCTGACGCCAAAAACGACACTGTGGAAGAGGAACTGGTCCACTGGCAGAGGAGGAGGAGACTTCATAGAAGGACGTCCGTCTGCGGTTTCCACAGAGACTCGATGGCCGGTGTGGTTTAGTGCCATGTTGCCCCTGGCGATGGCCTCTCCCCTGGGCCAGACGGGCCCCGGTCATCCAGCATTTACTCAGGTCCACTAGGGGCGCTCTTGTCCCACTCGGCAGCCTCCTCACCGGGGACCGGGGAGTCCCGGGGACGAGGAGCCTGAAAGCGGCGGCACTCAGGGCACACGTGCACGTGGCTGCAGCTCTGTGTCACCAGGGCAACTTCTTGCGGCAGCCTTGGGGGAGGACCCTCGGCCGTGGCCCCGCCCAGGCCCACCCCCCCACACAGCTTGCCATTGCTGAGGCTGGCAGCAGTCGCCCGGGCACGGCGCTCCTCCAGGGATGCCCGGCGGGGGTTTTGCCCCCCAGGCACCCGACGACGGCGGTGCTGAAGGCTGTCCTGGCAGAGGAGGATCCCCTGGAGCTCACGCAGCATTTCCTCGCACGCTGACTGGGGGGGGGGACAGAGGGGGAGAGAAGGAAAGAGAGACAGAGAAATGAGGAGAGAAAAAATGGCCTTGTGTGGACACTCATAAGCTGGTTGACATACATTCTTTTAGCAGGATTTACTGGTACGGTAAATTTCCCACTTACACTCATAACGGCAGGTAACAGCCTAGGGTTATCTGGGGTCTTTCCAAAAATTAAATGATGCACCTTAGAGGTCTACAGGCAAATTTATCAGAATTGTCATTGAAAATGTGGGTAGTTAATGCCTCATCCTCTCCAGTCCAATTTTTTATCTGGGCAAAAAACATCCTGACATATCTTGACGCTGCATATTAGTCACAGTGGCCAAAATGATGCCTCATGAACCATTTGTGGTATTTTTTGACTCCACTAGATGGTGCTCTTTGCTTTCTTTGAGGCATGCTTTGATCCCTTTTTTGAACAGGCAGCACCATCTATTCAGGTCAAAAAATACCACAAATGGTTCATGAAGTGCAGTTTTTGCCATCACTACTGCATATACATTATGTGTTCCATATTGGGGGTGGGGCCATGATAAGTGTGGGGGCGTGTGCTATCCAGTTGTGGGAGGGGCATCACCTCAGTGCTGGGTGTTCGACGCAGCATCCAGGCAAACTCCAGCACAGCTATGAGGACGGCTGCCAGTAGGCCACACACCAGCACCACGAAGATACCCCCAATGTTCTCCATACCCAGACCTGCGGGGGCAGAAAGCAGCCAGGAGCCACACATTAGGGAGAAGAGGGTTACCCAGAGCATGCCCAAGACCTCTATGCAATGCTTAGATGCCAAGTGTGACTCGGTGACCTATGCAGTACCTTTGGCCCGGTGGTCACCATCTTTGGGACACTTGCCCCCTTCCCACCACTTCCTCTTCAGGATCTCTAGCCGATTATCTTCCTGAAGCCTGAGGATGGCGAGGTCCAGCTCGTCCCTGTAGAGTGAACCTATGTAAACAGAGAGATGGGGAGTGAGAGAGAGAGAGAGAATGAGGGAGTGAGGGAGGGAAAGGGGAGAGAGACAGAGGGATGGAGGGAGACGAGATGAGCGATAGAGAGAAACAGACAGAGAAAGAGAGAGAGAGAGACAAATAGAGAAAAAAAACGGGAAAAAGGAGAGACAAACAGTGAGAGAGACTTAATTGATGTGTGTGTATGTGTCCATGAGTAAGTGTGAGTGTTAACGATAGCTTACAGAAACCCCTAATTAGAAAGTGTGATTTTATCAAACACAGATCAGCTTTCTTCAGGCTAATAGCGTCACATGAGAACCATTATGGTGCATGATCCTCCTGAGTGTGAGGAACATTCCGTAAGGGCTGCGGGCGTCTTACCAGCAGGCATGCCGATGCCGTAGCCCTTGGTGTCCAGCAGGCCGCCGATCTGCGTGAGGTTGCAGTCTCGCTGCCGGTGGTACTCGTTCATGGTGCTCTCCAGCAGAAAGGCGTAGTTGGATTTGAGGACACGGGCGATGCCCTCTTCTGTGCTCTTCACGAAGACACTGGGCTGTTTGGTGTGCATGAAGTTCCACATGCGCTGGTATGTCTGGTAGCGCGAATTCTGCCCAGAGTGGGGGGGAGGGGGGCAAAGTGCCAGTGGGGTAAGTGAGGGTGACGAGGTTTAAAGTTAGTGTTCAGGGAGTTAAACAGCTGACAGGAAGCGGGGAGACACACAGATACACATATACTAGTGACAGACAAAATGATGCTTCATGAACCATTTGCTGTATTTTTTGACCCCACTAGATGGCGCTCTTGGTTTGCTTTATGCTTTAAACAGAAAGTACCATCTAGTGGGGTCAAAAGATACAACAAATGGTTCATGAAGTGTCATTTTATCCATCACTAATATACACATTCACACACACGTTTACTAATACACAGACATACATCCACAGAAAAAGAAAAACGGTCATCAACACAGAGGGAAACACACACATACTGTACACACACACAAAACATGGAAACACAGACTTAGACACAGACACACACATTAACAGATGGGTAATCCCACTGACAGAGACACACAAACAATCCACAACAAACATGCTGTATTTGCCATTTGCACAAGTACAGGTACATTGGAATGCTTCACTTTGCTGACCCCATCTTGCTCTCCATAGCTGGGGGGGTCACAGCACAAGGTCAGCCAACAGGGAGTGCTGCTGGAGCTGGGGGTTAAGGGCCTTACCCAAGGGCCCACAAACATGTGACTGTTCTGCTGAGGCCAGGGCTTGAACCCACCACACACACACACACACACACACACACAAACAAACAAACAATTGTGTATCTTGTATATTTGTTTGAGGAGTCTCTCCATTGATTTCTATGGCCATTACCCTAATCCTAACTATAATAAGTCTAATCCTTAACCAGGCCTAATCTTAACCATACTGCAACCAAATAAAATACAAGACTTTTGGCAATTCACATTTTTTTGATAGCATGTGCACATTTTTTGTAAAATTAGGTTTATATTATGGGGACTGAAAAAATGTCCCCACTAGGTAACATTTGGTTTCCACAATGTGTAAATACAAACCCACACATCCATACACAGACAGGCACAAACAAGCACACACACACACATGCACACACACACACACACACACACAGTCATGCAATCATATCTTTACATCTCTACATTCAGTCCCCACAACGTAAGGTATACCTGGACCATACACACACACATACACACACACACACACACCTGAAAGAAGGTCATGGTTGAGCCCCCATACATAGTGCCGTACTCGATGGCGGTCTGGTCGGCCAGGTCGTCCACAGACTCGATGGGCACCTCCATCCTCTGCACGGTGAGGAAGGCGGCCAGGTTGGCCGTGTAGGAAGAGATGATGATGAGGGTGAAGGCCCACCTACAGGAGGAGGAGGTGTTACTCACCCCTGTGTCTGTGTGTATCTGTGTGTGTGTCTGTTGTCCCTAAATGCTTTTACTTTGCAATAAAACCATGGAATATCTAGCAGGGAAGAAATGTCACAAACTGACTTATTGCAAAGGTGGCACCTATGACAGTGTCACGCCTGAATTCACTGAGCTCTTCAGAACGACCCATTCTTTCACAAATCTTCGTAAACCTGACTGCTTTTCTAGGTGCTTCATTTTATAAACCAGTGGCAATGGGTCTGAATGACACACCTAAATTTAATGATTAAGAGGTGTGTCTATAAGCCGACTCTGTTATGAACTGTTATGAACTAGTAGTTTTTATTGCCCTCTCAGAGAGGAAGACAAGGGGGCTCTCATCATGTGTCCTGTGTGTGTGTGTCTGTCTGTCTGTCTCTGAGTGTGTGCGTGTGTCTCTCAGTGTGTGTGTGTGGTCCAGGTATATCTTACCTTGTGGGGACCAAATTTCCCCACAACGTGATGAATACCCGTTTTTTTTACCTTATGGGAACTAGTTTCCTGGTCCTCATATGGGAAAACTCTTTTATAAAAATCTGTGACTGCAAAACTAAAAATGCAAAAAATGTATTTTGTTTGATTACTTATGGTTATGGTTAGGGCTGGGAAGGGGTTAAGGCTGTCAAAGTTAGCATTAGCATTTTTCCCATAGAAATTAATGAGCAGTCCCCAAAAAGATATGATTACATGACTGTGTGTGTGTGTGTGTCTGTGTGTGTGTGAGAGAGAGTTTGTGTGTGTGCCCCTACACACTGACCAGACCCCGCTGACGCAGCGCGTAGACAGAGCACGGGGGGCGATGGTGGACCCCTGCTGCATAAAACCCCCTACAGGAAACCAGAAACTGTTTCCCAGGGAGTACTGATTGATGACAAGGCTGCAGCGCCCCCTCTGGTAGGGGTCGGGATTGTACCACTCATATGGCGTTAACCTGAGCACAGAGAGATGGCAGAGAAAAGGAGAAAAGCCTGGTTCAGCTATACATCACTCTCATGTGACCCCAACCGATGAATCCCATTGGCTGATACGCATGTTAGCAGCGACGATCTCAGAGACCTGCAGGGAGATTCGAAATTTACAAAGAAGAGTCTGAGCATTAGTCTGAGCACCAGGGATATGACTTATGCGGCTCCCAGGGAGAGCATCATGTTCTTCCCCCAGCTCTGCGCCAGGCTCAAGCAAATGAATATCAATCTGTGGATGCTTGTGGCAGATTGCCGATGGTTATCCCAAGTCACTGAAAATGCCGAGGGTCACAGCGCGTTCGGAAGCGAGGCTTATCCTTCAGAGATATCCTCCAGGATCATAGGAAGCACAGCTTCAAAAAGCCTGAAATTTATTACAACCATTTAAGGTTTCACAGTCCTACAGTACAACTGGAACTGGAGATGTCCAGGTGCTGGTGGCAGTTCCGGGACCCGCCAGCAGGTGGGGCAGTGTGCTCACCTGGCGACTAAGAAGAGAACGCAGCTGACAGCCAGGTAAGCAAGCAGCATGAAAAGCCACACTCCTGGGGAGAAGGGGTCCAGGAAGGAGAAATAGCCAGGTCTGCGGCCCTGAAATAAAGCACACGATGACTGTATACACACAAATAAGCTGGCTCCTGTGCATACAGAAAAACGCTTTAACAATAACACACACATGCACATCTATTCAATTACTATTAATCTATACATAATTGGATCAGAGGCAGGGTATGTCTTCCTGACCCAGGCCTGACCCGTGTTGTGTAATTGGACAGAACGTGGCACATAGCCAGTGTGATTTTGAGGTCTCTGATGAACATGTCCCAGGGGGTAGGGTGCCCTCTCCTGGCACAGTGACTGTCTACTCGCCAAGGCATACCCAGCAGCCATATTGAGTTCTCAAGACATAGGGGTGGCTGCGGGGGGGGGATCCTGGAGTTTTTAGAAGGACAGAATGCATGGCCCATGTTTGAGTCCCATTTGTGTGCCAAAAATAAGACAGCAGTCAACAACTGACAACCCGCCCCCCCCAAAACTCAGGTATACGACTATATCTAGTAACTCATAGGCTCTTACAACAGCTTCTTTTACGCTGTTTCCCTCCAGGGGGCAACAATTTAATAAGGGGGTAATACAGCTCTGGAGAAAAATTAAGAGACCGCTCTATATTTTTAAAAAATTCACATTTTTAAATCCTGGTTTAATCGTGGTTCTGCTGTCAAAAGCAGGCTCAGCATTCCTAACACAGCAGCACACAAGAACAAGGCGAAGCAGGAGACAACCAGAAACCAGCCAGAGGGCAGAAGCGACTTTCTAATGGCAGAGATGACCATCAACTTATCCGGCAGTGCCTCATAAATCTGAGAATGACCTCAAGTGACCTTCAAGTGGGATGGGAAACATTAAGTGTGAAGTGCACTGCTAGGACAGTTCATATCAGGCTCCTAGAGGCAGGACTGAAGACCCATAAAGCAAGGAAGTAGGGAAGAGCCAGGCTGAAGTTTGCAAAAAGAGTATATTTTACACTGGCACAAAACTGAAATGAATGAAACTGAAATTTTTGCTGCGGTCTCTTAATTTTTTCCAGAGCCGTATGTAAAAATTAGACAACATGTCACCCAGGGCTACATCAAAGGCGTCTCTGCTGCGAATGAGATAATGAACAAGATTAGGAAGAGTGACCGTTTACATTTTCCAAATGTTCTTCTCACCGCGGTTGGTGTGAGAGCGGCAAGTAAAGTGCCTTCTGCACACCAACGGCCAGAGAGTCACCAGATAAGCAGGAGGTCTCACCAGATGCACCCGGTACAGGATGCTGATGCCCAAGGTCATGAAGGGCTTGGAGAAGTCGATGACCTTCTCCCTCTCAGCGGTGATGGTCAGCCCTGCCACGGCCAGGTCGGCTTTCTGAGGCATAAATGCAAGGGGGGTGGGGGGGGGTAGTTTCAGAGCCTTGTCATGGTTTGGAGGACCAGTGCGATTTCTAGAAACCATAGTGAGGGCATCAAGAAACACACTCCCAGAATTCCAGCTCCACGTCTGGCTGATTCCACCTAGTCCACAAGCCGTTCGTGATCCCTACTTCACAGTGACAGCCCCCCCCCCCCCCCCCCCCCACCACTTACATTGCCAGCTTGTCAAATCTCTGTACTTGTCAGCTAAGGCTCAGTTGGGCCCCCAAACCCAGTGACCTCACGTTTGTTCACATGCTTAATAATTCAGCTGGAACCATTCTTGNTCTCTGTACTTGTCAGCTAAGGCTCAGTTGGGCCCCCAAACCCAGTGACCTCACGTTTGTTCACATGCTTAATAATTCAGCTGGAACCATTCTTGGTGATTAAAGACGTTCTTGGGCAAGGATGTCAGTCTCCAACAAAGACACGGTGGGGGGAAAAAAGAACAAAAAAGAACCTTTAGGCCCAATAATCGTCATGCCAACCGAACTTGTTGACAAAGCTCTATGACCAGTCGGAGCAGCGCGTGTCATGTAAAATGCAACAGTCATACCAGACCCTGATCCAAGGTCTCCATGGTCAGTCTTTTGCTCCAAACTGAAGCTTTTTCCTCTCTGAACACTCGCATCCCAACGCGAGCCTGGGATTGCATGCTACACAGATTCCACCTGTCTGAACGTATCTCCCAGAGGGGACACATCAGTTCGCTGAGAGTTATCTCAGCGCCTCAGGTTTTTCTAGGGATGTGCAGGACCTGGAAGTAACAGGTTCAGAGCTTCTCCCCAATGGTCTGCGAGTGCTGCCTTGAGCAAACTTCACACAAACTTCATACGTTTCCGGAATCTCCACCACGGGAGAGATCCAAACTTAATAAGGGAAAATCTGACCTCCTTTTGAAAAATGAGCACGTCCCCACAGCACATACTGAAATATTAACAATGAATGTTTTAGAACATTAATATTGATTGGCAGACGCATCTCTCATTCAAAATACAACAAAAACAAAAAACGTACAAATTCAGCTTTTAAATAATGCATCTCTGCCAGTTTATTTTTCTTCTAATTCTGATCCACGGAGCTTCCCCTTTGTAGGTAGAGGGATCAGACTCAGAGTGATAACATCTGTCTAACTTCAGGGTTTGGATCCCTGCTCTGTCAGGAAGAACCACGTTTACCCATACGGGGGACACATAGGGGATGGATCTTTGCAAGGTCACCAAGCAACAGGAATCCTTCAAAATGAATCGCCGTTGTAATAGGAGCCGGCAGCCCCCACTTCATATCCTTAATGGTCCTGCCCTCCATTAGCCCTGGGAATTAAGATGGATAACTTATTATGGCCTGGCCTTCCTGTCTGCATCCACCTGAAAGCAATATTTAATTGTTTCCGATATTTAGGCACAACAACATTTCATTCATAAACAAATCCATTAAATTTGCTGCACAAATTACAAGCAGGCCTGCAAAAAATGCATCACCAAGAGACTAACATAGTTTTTTTTAAATAAATAATCTTACTGTAAAGGGCAAACTCCTGAAGTAGATGGGAATTAATGACATGTAAAAATCCAGCTCAATCAAGTCTGTGTTAGCGGGTGTCAGAATTAGGATTAATCTGCTTCATGGTTAACTGGGCATTTCAGATTGTGTGTGTCTGATTGGTACAAGGGGAGCTTATTGAAATTTGTGTCTGAGAGCAGAGACCACGTAACAGCCCAGGCTAGTTGGGTTTGGCGGGTGTCTTGGGATTGGACAAAATTCTAATGCTCCTTCTTAATACATATCTCACAGCAGATCACTCTCCCCAAATTCTACACGTACCATTACAAGCTCACTGGTCAGACTGATCTCAGACCAGGTGTTAAGGGGCGGAAGTGCACCTAGTGCTTCATACACACCTATGCCTTGTGCACTCTGACTAGAATGTCCATTGCATGTAGAGAGATGGTACATTGATAAAGATGAATCTTCAAAGATGTGTAACTGGCATGGAATTATTTATGTTTGAGTTGATGATGCATGTTCATGAGGCATGAGATGTACGGATGACTTGATGACACTTGCTGATGATGTGAGACCTAGGGATGAAGCAGAAGGTCTACAGCAGTGTTTCCCAATCCGGTCCTCAGTGACCACCAGACGGTCCACATCTTCACACTCTCTCCCAAAAACATGGACCACCTGGGGGTCCCTGATAACCGGATGGGAAACACTGCAGTCCGTGTAAATGAGCAGGTGTCATGGATCTTTGCGGGTGCTGGTAGGTGTGGACCTCACCCTGGACATGAGCTCGCCCACCATGCCCGTCCAGGTGCCGTTGGCCCCCGGAACGCCGTAGACGCCGTCGTCCACCAGCCGGATGCGGTAGTTGAATTTGAGGATGTGGGCCAACTCCCTCAGCATGTCCACGCAGAAGCCCTCATAGCGGTCATTACCCTGCAGGTCCTGGTGGTTTTGTCTCAGCATCACATAGGGATTCTCCTGCAGGGCACGCATCACACGGCATCATTCAGGCTGCGATTCTCCCTGCTCATGCTTTCATCTAATGCATCTATTCCCAACGGCTGAAAATAGGACCGTATAACAGGATGACATGCGTCAGTCTGGCTCCAAGCTCAGTCCCATCACCGCTACGCCACCTGCTGAACTTTGACTGCCATCTCCCGTAGTGCATCTTACACTCAGACTGCTCAGTAACTCACTCCCATCGAATACCTGCCATTATTTATGGTTTGTTATCCTGTCCAGATGGGACCGTTTGCTGATTTAGGTTGAATGTGGCACACATTTACGGAGCACTGAAATAGGGGGAGGGCATATTTCACATCATCATCTTCCTGTAAAGGGAAAATTCAGCTTCTTTTCCCAGAGAATGGTTTAATCAAGCCTGCATGGACTCTCTAGTGTGCACCAGATCAATGGTGTTTTCACCCATTAAGGCCGTATTTTTTCACCGCGGCCGGGAATGAGACCCGCTCTCAGAGGGATTTCGCAATCTTCCTGCCGACTGCTGAGTGTCGTCGGAGTCTCAAGTCTCAAGATAACCCGGGAGACAAAATTCCAGGAACAAAGTTCCCTGGCAGGAAAGACTTTAAAAGTCTATGAGAGACGTCTCAGAATTTGACGCTGCAGAAGTGCTCTGTGCCAAACACTGCGAGGCGAGTGGCAGAATGGTGACCAGCGGCTGCCACCAAACGCAAATCGCTCATTAAGATGTTGGTGCTTGCTGGGTGGAAAGGCGGGGCGCCCGGGGTTTCCGACAGACTGGCCCCAGGTTAAACTGTAGGGCGTGACGAAGGACGCCATCTAACGAATAAACATACCTGCCTGAGCTCCATTGACGTGAAGAAGGGTCAGGAGAAAATTTGGCTTCTTCTCCTCGTTACCATTTCACACCAACCTCATTAAACTCAAATGCAAAAGAAGGGTCTTGGCACCGAGCCAAGAAAATCCATCCCAGCATGCACCAGCTGTGTAAGATCTGGCATCGTCTCAAACTCAGGGCCGTGTGAGGCCATCTCTATTGCTTATTCAAAAAATCCCGTGTGATATAAAAATATTGTGCGTGGGAGAAATGGAAAAACACATACATGTCACATGTGTGTGCGCGATGGCATATTTGCATGTGTGTGAGTGCGTGCTTTTGAATGCTTGTGTTCCAGCTGCATTGTAACGCCTCTCAGCTGCAGAGCACTGTGGATCGCCGTAGGCGTCCGGAGACCGGGCCCTGGGGCTGACGACGCTGGTCCACGGCGTGATGAATGAGGCCCGATAGCTGCAGAATTGCTGCTAGGCTGAGGGCTCCATACATCTTCGGGGCGAGATTGCCACACTCTTCCGACTGCCATCCAGCCCCCCCCCCGCAAAAGCTTTGCGTCCAGCTGGGCCTAAGCCAGTCATTCGAATAACAACCCAATTACTGAAAATGACCGAAAAAACAAGCCCCCCACCATCCCATAATGCATTTCTGCTTCCTGTGAGCAGATAAACGCAGAAGAAAGCCTCAATTCACGTCGAGTTGATTGAGCCTTATCTCCTGCTTTTTCTACAGCATGTGGAGGCAGAGTCATGAATATTTCTTTTATTCTGACTATGATCTCTCTGCGGGGATTGCTTCCATTCTTCTAGATCTTAACTTTGCTTCTTGAGCATGAACATCTCCCTGGATTACGCAGCACAGTGACTCCCTGCCTCTAAACGCATGACGGTACAAAATCCTCCTGCTTCACAACGAGGTCGGCTCCTTATACCGTATCACAGCCATTCGTAAAGTGGCATGTCCAGCACACCACAGCCATGCGAGGATCTGTCACGGGGCGGGAAAGCGTGTCCTCGTGCAAGCTCACCAGGATCGTGGTGATGACGAGTGTTGTGTTGAACAGAGCGTCCGTCACGTTGGGCGACGACAGCCTCCTCACCATGGACAAGCCCTGGTCCGAGTGCCACTGGCCAATCTGTATGGAGGACACACACACACACACACACACGCACACTCATGATTATACACTATACTGCCAAAAGTATTGGGACACCCCTGCAAATCATTGAATTCAGATGTTCCAATCACTTCCATAACCACAGGTGTATAAAATCAACATTTACAAACATTTGCGAAAGAATGGGTCACTCTCAGGAGCTCAGTGAATTCAAGCATGGTACCGTGATAGGATGCCACCTGTGCAATGAATCTATTTGCGAAATTTCCTCATTACTAAATATTCCATGGCCAACTGTTAGTGGCATTATAACAAAGTGGAAGCAATTGGGAACAACAGCAACTACACAAAGTGATAGGCCACGTAAAATCACAGAGCGGGGACAACGCATGCTGAGGCTCACAGTGTGCAGAAGTCGCCAACTGTCTGCAGAGTCAATAGCTACAGACCTACAAACTTCATGTGACCTTCAGATTAGCTGAAGAAGTGCATAGAGAACTTCATGGAATGGGTTTCCATGGCTGAGCAGCTGCATCCAAGCCTTACATCACCAAGTGCAAAGCGTCGGATGCAGTGGTGTAAAGCACAGTGCCACTGGACTCTAGAGCAGTGAAGACGTGTTCTCTGGAGTGACAAATCACGCGTCTCTGTCTGGCAAACCGATGGACGAGTCTGGGTTTGGTGGTTGCCAGGAGAACGGTACTTGCCTGACTGCATTGTGCCAAGTGTAAATTTTGGTGGAGGGGGGATTATGGTGTGGGGTTGTTTTCAGGGGTTGATTGGTGAGTTTGGTGTGGAAGAACTTGACTGGCTTGCACAGAGCCCTGACCTCAACCCCACTGACCACCATTGGGTTGGGATGACCTAGAACAGAGATCAGGATCCAGGCCTTCACATCCAACAATAGTGTCTAACTTCACACAAGCTCTTCTGGATGAATGGGCAAAATTTCCATAGACAGACCAAAATCTTACGGAAAGCATTCCCAGATGAGTGGCAGCTGTTATAGCTGCAAGGGTGGGGTGTGTGTGTGTGTGGGGGGGGACCAACTCCGAATTGATGCCTATGGATTTAGTGTGGAATGTCATACAATTCCAGTGGGTGTAATGGTTCTTTCTGTTACCCAGTTCTCTTGTCCATGTAGTATATACACTTGCACACACACACACACACACACCTGCACGTACAGACCTAATGGCTGTCAATCATACACCGTTCCAGGGTTCAGTGGCCACTCAGAATTTAATAAAACATTTCTTTAGTCAAATCTCAAAGAGAAAATTTCATTTAAAACACCACAGAGAATAATTCCTTCTCTGATGCTCAGAGAGGAACCAGAGTTTAATCTTCTATCAAACACCAGTCCGGCAGAGCTGATTTAAAACAACACACAGCTTCAAATGAGGCCCTGTACCGTATTTTGATTAGTATTGCTTGTCCGCGGTTGGAATAGGGATCACTACATACCTGATTAATTACACATTTCCATTTTGTATGGGAATAAACTTGTGTTTTGCCTTGGGAAGAAAACAGATTTCTGATATAAACACCCTCCAACCCCCCGCTTTCCATTTCCCGCCGAGCCCCCCCCAGGGCGAGGACCACCCTGCCGTAACAGGTTAAAACACCAAAGTTAACTTGAAGCTGTGCCCGCCGGGGGACATTAGGGACTGAATCAGACTGCAATGACAGGCTCATTCTGGGCAGCCATGCCTGTTTCTAGGGATGAAAGTGTAACAGCCGGGACAGTGGGGGTTGGGGGGTGGGGGGTGTGGAGACTCAGGGGATCTCTGAGAAGGGAATGAACCTTCTTACAGGAGACTGCTTACACTCACACTCACACACACACTCTCTCTCACACACACACACTCTCACACACACAGATCATATATTCCTATCATTGTCGCAACCCTCCATTCATTCCCATGGGCGTAACCCTAATCATAACCCCTAACCCTAACCCTAACCCTAATCATAACCCCTAACCCTAACTCTAATCATAACCCCTAACCCTAACCCTAATCATAACCCCTAACCCTAACCATAAGTAACCAAGCGAAATACAAGATTTGTGGTGTTTTTAGTTTTTTTATTGTATTCACAGCTTTTTCCAAAATTAAGGTTTATTTTGTGGAGACCTGAAAAATGTCCCCCAGTCTGAGCACATTGCCTGCAGTATCTGCCGCTTCAAAAACTGTCCCACACAAGCTAAGCTAATCATTAAGAGTTCTGTTCATTGGAGGTAAGGAGCCAAGCCCAGCCCCAGAAAACAACCCCTTGTAGATTAGGGAGTTTAATGTGTCTACATACTAAGACATTTTGGACAATGCTATGCCTCCGCCTTTGTGGAAACAGTTTGGTTGAAGACCCTTTTCTGTTCCAGCACAGAGCCCTGATTCACCTTCGGGATGAACTAGAACCTCAAAAATGCTCTTCTGGACGAATGGGCAAAATGAAGAGTGGCTGCAAAGGGGGAACCGACTCCATATTGATGCCTATGGGTTTATAATGGGATGTCATAAAAGTTCCTGTATGTGTAATGGCCAGGTGTCCCAATACTTTTGTTCAAATAGTGCAAAAAGTAACCACATCCCATGTTAAATACAACCCCCACCCCCACAAATGAGCATACATACACACACACCTGACGTAGACCGAACCCCCCCCGACACACACACCCACACAGCATCATCATCCTCACACTGCTGTCCTCACTGACCTCACAATCCAGCCATACACCGCAAGCTGTTCCAGTATTTTCCAGAACCTTCCCCAGTGCACCATTAGCCAGCTTCTGCAGCTTAATTCCATAAAAGGAGCGTCACCAGCATAAGTAATTGATGAAACTGCAACCATAACATGTTCATTAAAATTATTATGCTTAATTAGAAGAAACTGATACCATGAATTAAACACTTCTCTTTTTTTAACAGATGGGTCCATGGAAGATATTCCCTTTTCAGTTTGACCTTGAGAATCCTGCTTGCCACACTCCTGCTGAGGCGGGACTGGGTAGGCCTCGCACCCGGGCACCCAAAAAGCCCCCATTAGCAAAGGGGCAAAATTTTTTGCAGGTCTGTGGGCAAAACACCAAGACAAGCTGTGTGATGTGTGAGAGTGTAAAAAAAAAACATTGTTATCGATCAGAGGCTGCCTCTTGTTAAAGGCCTCAGACTGTGTAGCTCACGGCCCAGACTCCCTGACCGGGAAGCGGTGCCGAGAGGCGTTTGCTGTGAAAAGGGCTGTAAAATCAATGGGGGAGGTTAGGGGAGTCGGTGAAGCGGAGCTTGAAGGATTACCTCCGGCAGATTCTGACACCGGGGCCCTGCTGCTGCCGGAGAGGCATTACAGTGATTACGCCGAGCGGCCGGACGCCATGTCTTAGGGTTCTGGTTGGAAATGATGCTTTCGTCATCGAGATACCATCATTTAATTGGCCAGCGCTTCCCCCTGCCTGATGTGAATCACGCATCTCACAGCTTCACCGTTTAAGCGACCCTGATGTCACATCACTGAAAGAGTCGGCGTTACGTCACTGTAAGAGTTCGGGTTCAAAGGTCCAAGAGCAGCTCCCTCGAAGGTTCTGAGCTGGCGAATTAAAGGCAGTTAACTGTGGTTACTTCAACCGTGCCGCTGCCACGGCGCTGGCAGTGCTGTCCCGCCAGAGACAGCCGAATCGCCGGCGTTCTCGATCGGGGTGATCTTCCCACTGCTCCTGCAGGCTGCTGTCACATGACACAGGAGGGCAAACAGAAAGCAGACCTTCCCCGAAATGTGATGCGAATTTCAATTTGCGCCTCAGGAACGGGTCGGGCGCAGGGGCACCGTGGCGAAATCGCCGTGTCCACCGTTTTGCCCCCGCCGGGCGGCTTCGGCTCGTCATGAGACCGACACCCATTTCCCTGTCTGCCAAGGCATCCGACCACCGTGCCGAGGAGGTGCTGATTGGACGGGATGAGAGGAAACTGGGGACCTGGTTTGTGATTGGAAAGCAGAGCAAAGGGGGAAACACAGGGCAGCCCCCCCCCCCCGAATATCATACCACAGTAAACAGCATAACAAACATTTAACGGCATTACGAGCGCAGATGAAAACAGGGGCTCCAATTTCCTGTGGAGATTTCGTTCGTTTACTCCAAACACATTTTCTCTTTGAATCAGAACATGTCCAGAATGGAGCTTAAAGCCCTTCCCTGGATCAGTACTGAGGATTAAACACCTAAAAATACCCAGATCTCCAGCAGTTGGAGGGTGCTCACTTGGTGAAGGGATGGTAATTGAAGACTGCACTGTAGCCCGCCTCCTTATAATTGCACTCTGACCTCTCTCTCTGTTACCCATAATCCATTTCACCATGCCTTCACAGTCAATACAAATGCGATGGGAAGGTCAGTCCTTCTCCTGTGGGCTCCATCACACCATACATACTCTCCGCCTGCACAGGTCCAGCCCTCTGGGGAAGACGAGCCTTTACAAGGTGCGCAGTTTAAAAAAAAAAATTAGTCCTGTGCCCTGGTCTCACACTTCCCGCAGGTGTCTTCACTCTGCCTGAAGGCTAATCGACAGAGATGCACGATGCCTGGGGTGCCTGGGAAACAGCGCCCTCTGCTGGCCGGGCGGCACTCAGGTGGTTCTGTCAGACTCAGTGAACATGAGCCTCGTGGAGACCATCTGCTCTTTGACACACACACACACACACACACACACACACACACACACACACACACACACACACTTAGCCTTTCTGTCTAACAGCTCCATCATTGAGATGTCGATGCTTTAATTGAGGACCCTGATTAACCTCCTCCACTAATGGACTTAATTAGTAAATCGTATGCCAGGAGGGACCCAGTACTAATTCTAGCTAAAGAGCACCCCCCCCAACCCCATTTCCTCACTCAATCTGAAAAGGAGTGTCAGTCCGAAAGACAAAACACAAGCGCTGGGCTGAGAGAAGCCAGCAGGGGGCGCCATGGTTAACAACATATTCAAACCTCAAAATGAGATGCTGCTCGCTGCAATCAGTGTTTCTCAACCCATAAGTTTGGGAGGAGCTGGTAGGGAGCAAAAATGTGGGCCGTGTGGAGGTACCTGAGGACCGGGTTGAGAAACACTGACCTAGTGTCACCCCTGGTCCATTCTGTTCCAGAGAGTGTAAATCAGAGACACGTGCTGAGCCGAGCCTTCGGGGGAGAGTTGCATTCTTGGAGCGCTAATCAGCCAATGAATATACATGTAAAGGTGCTTTGCTTTTACAGCTTAATCCCGGTATTGGTGCCATCTGCGTCCTGGTCCCATCAGAGGCTGCCGCACCTCATTACGGCATCCGCATTAACGAGTAAAGCTTTACGCTTCACTCCTGTGGATTTACAGCCCCCATTGGCTCGGTTAGCATGGCGGGCCGTGTCAGCAAAGCGCAGCTGCGGGGAGCTCTCTCGCAGCTCGGTACCCTACAAGGGAGGAGTGGCACGCTGGACCCCCAGAGCCTGGTCTCCAGGGGAACACCTGGAGCTGGGATGGGGCTCATCAAGGTGCACCAGAGTTTCTCCATATTGCTAAAATATCCCCTCCCCATATTCCAGCATGATACAGCCCCCATACACACTGCTAAATTAATGCAGTGGTGCTGTCATCAAGACCACAACATAGACAGACTCCATCCACGACCTCCTTAACCAGCAGATATAAACATCACTGAAGTTTTATGAGAAGGTCTGCGCACAGAGTGCGAAGGAGATTCCCATCTTCAGCCCTAAAGACAGAGAAGCTTTTCAGCGAGAAAAAAAGCAAGTGGGTCCAGTATCCCAATACAGGCAGGTCAGGATCTGTGTGACGGCATTCCAAGGAGGACTGGAGCCAATCGGCAGGTAAAGGGCCCCCCCGCCACACTTTATCAGGCCCACCCCCTGTGTGCTGACTTTTTCAGCAGATGCTCTATTGAGAGAGCAGGGCGGGACAGTCACTGGAGCAATTAGGGGTTAAAGGCCATGCTGATGGACCAAACAAAAATCCACTCTGTTAACCCGGGGATTTGAACGTCCCGACTTGCTGAGTCACACACTGCCTCTACTCTAAACTTACCCCTGTGGTAAGTTATTAATGGTCTGTAGTATTTATTAATGGTCTGTAGTATTTATTAATGGTCTTTATTGCCCCCTCAGAAAAGAAGGCAAGGGGCCTTTCATGACATGTTCTGGAGCTGTTCAGTGTGTGTGTGTGTGTGTGTGTGTGTGTGTGTGTGTGTATGATCACAGCACTTTACCTGCCTTAGCCCCTCCTTGCTGCTCTGCATGATGCGAAGGGCGTAATTGGACCGCTGCCCCCTGCTGTTGAACTCGATGTGGCCAGTTAGACCTTCCAATTCTACCTGTCCAAGAGGAAAGACAAACAGTCGGTCCTTCTGTTCCAGTTAGATGCACATACATACTCGCACGCAACAAACTCAACCAAGACTCACAGCTAAACAGCAGGTGCATGAGAGTGGATCAGTTTGGATGCCAATAAGGCCACTAGCCTTGGACCTTCACCAGTCAGATAATGAGGAATACTTTCATTTACCTGGCAATCTGGAGCAAAACTGAGGCCAAGTCATTAATTAGTCATTAATTAGATAAGGATCAATATGCCAGTCTTATTGCTAACATTAATCTCCGTTACAGTAATAGTGAAAGTCTCTGGATAAGTCTTACTACTGAGCTGTGAGTTGCAGTTTTATTCTTAATATAATAGGTATTATAACTTCTCGCTTCTTCATATTTTTATCCAAAGTGCCTCATGATTCTGTCCAGTGATTCACACATCTGGATATTTTACAGGAGCAATTTGTGTTAAGTAGGTTTCGCAAGGGTACAACAGCAGAACCCTCCTGAGATCCGGCAGCCCAGCTTCCCGCAGGCTATTACCTGCCAGCATCTCACGCACAAACCGTATTTAATCTTCTCCTCAGAAATCGGGGGCCGTTTTCAATTCATACTTGTTCCCCCTTTTCTGTGTTGTGGGGACGTAAATAAATTTGCTGTCGCCGGGTTCACGCCAAGTTCTACGGATGAA